GCTCGACAAACGTCGCAAGCTACAGGGGCAGTGCGCGGGGCATTGGTGGCCGGCTTCCACGTTTTTAGCATTGGCCAGATCGTAAGCAGCGCATGCACGAAACGGGCGGAAAGCAGTAAAACAACGATGACGTGCACACGTAGCGTGCGTAACGTTAGCGCAGCTAGGGGGGTATGCATACGTGTTGTGTGTGATGTGATGTTGTCGTCGTGTGTGTGTGTGTTGTGTGACAGTCTGGATCGCGAGCAGGTTCAATGCGATGCTGGCCGAACCGACACGCATAATCGCGCAGCATGACATGGCACGGAGAGCGTCGGCCGGTGGCAACGGTCGGCAGGTGACTGACGACGCAGGAGCGTTGTAGGCGTAGGTGGCGCGGCCGCGGGAACGCGCACGTGAATAACCGACACAGCAGTGACGGGCTCAAATGTTCGTGGGTTGCAAGGTTTGCGAGACAACATTTATAGCAATAGAGGTGATTTTGGCCTTTACCGGTGGTGTGGCCGTAGGTGTCGTCGGGTAGAGCGGTGCTATCTAGTCATGTGTGTCATAATCTAGTCATGGCAGGCGCTGCCTTTAGCTGTAATCACAGGCACTTTTAACTAGTGTCGTCGGTGTGGTGGAAATGGCGATTGGGCCTTAAGCGCAGGCAGCACACCTTTTACGGCATTTTTCGTTGCTACGTACCCAGGGCGAAATTACGTTTCGTGGTCGCCAGCAAAAATCGGGCCACAGTGTGGCGCGCGAGCCGGCACAAATCGCCCACGTCACACGGAAAATTTAGTGGCGTGACGCCCACAGGAGTTGCCGGAGAAATGACAAAACGGTTTGATTTTCTCACCACGCGAAGAACTGCTCCGTGGAGCCCGCAACTTGTTGAGTTTCAGAAGTGATGCGCGCCGCCACCACGCACAATCAGCACAATCTTACACCGCTAACAACGAACTCACTCGCCAGACCCCATAAAATTAGCCAGAGAGCGTTCGGCCGCACATGAATTCAAAATGACGGGCCCAATTTTAATCGACTATACGCGAACCCCCTGCAACCACCCCCGAGATAGAAGGCACACTTAATAGATTTTATGGAGTGAGAGGCTTGTCTTTTTGACATCGACAAGCCTCGGAACTACACCAACTCAGAAGTACTAGCACGGCGATGGCCCTATAAGTGAACGTGTCCAACTTCTGGTGTTGGAGACACAGGGTTAGTAGCGGCTGAGCAGTTTTATAGGAAACAGGACACCGAACTGTTCGTGAGCCTGCGTCGTGCATTTGCTTATCGCAAGAAAAAATCACGCACATAAATGCTCTATGATCGTTTAGGTCATATTGTGTATATAGGATTAAGTGTAAACAGGGGCGAGATTGTTTCTTGTCTATTGGCCCCCCAAGACTCGCATTTTGGAACACCTGGCTCACGGAGTAATTAGGAGGTTTAAAAAGGTGTAAAAAGGTAGGTTATAATTGTATATGAGTGGGTTAAAGCTAACAATCTGGCACACAAATTGCCATGTCAACAGCACAGAATGGAAAGAAGAATGCGAAGGCATTTACGGTCACCACTCAGTGGTGAGCGTTGTGTTTGTGGCGCGGCGAAAGGCCACAAAAATTGCCGACACCGAAAAAGATTGCCTGTAGCGAGCAACGAAAAGATGGTGAAGTGTGCTGCTGCTTTAGATTGTGATACGTGTGGTGCCCACAACAGCACAGCGAGGCATGCACGCACTGCCCATTTCCCCTCACCTTTCGAGCAACTGGACACTCAGGGCAGTCTTATTGTTTAGAAAAGTAGGCTCAAGCAGTAAGGAAAATGAGACAACTTTCACAGGCGAGCCAGCGCCACACAGCCGATGCAAACCGCTGAAGGCCGAGGTGAAGGGTGCGCGAAAAGGGCAATTACGTCTCAAGCGCGCTTCTCTATATACACCCGCTGGCGCACAGATACAAACACGAGCTAACGCTGTCATGGCAGCGCGATCGTGCCGAGGCGTGCAACGCTAGACCTGTGTAAGCCATGTAACCGTCATATATGTACGGCCTCAACGCCAAAGATGTTCATCAACTCGCAACTTTGCGAGGCTGCGCGCGGTGATGCCCGAGAGGAAGGCGAAAGAGAGAAAGAGAGCCGTCATAACTGGCACTCATCAAATCCCACTACAGCAGGAATTCGAGGGGCTGCATTTAAAAACAATAGTAGTAGATGTCTCCATGCGTCGTCTTTACACAGAGCTAACAACTACGCAGGCGATGACAACTGATTAGGCCGGATCATGGGCGCGCAGGCTAAGATACACGGCATAAAAGTTGGGCCTGCAATAGAGAATTTCTGCCTTGGTATCCTGGAAAATGCTGATTTGAGGCCAAAGGACAACTAGTAGACTTGCACAGTTTGCACCGCCCAAGGACCAAGCTGGCGGTGCGCACAGTGGGGAGAAATGCACTAACAATTTAGATT